TATGATATAGCAAAATTAAATCTAGATCAAAATGTGTGTTTGATAAAGTCGTTACAACTGTAACATCGGACAAATCACCATTACAATTATATGTTAGCGGAGAAGGTGGTACAGGAAAAAGTTTCTTAATTAAAACTATCAAATGTTGGATAAAACAAAATCTTAAGAAAGATACTGCTATAGCAGCTCCTACTGGTATTGCAGCGTTTAACGTAGACGGTTTGTCAGTTCATAGACTACTTCAATTGCCTGTTGAACACGGTTTTGTTCCTAAATATAAACAATTATCTGATCATGTATTAAAAGTTTTACGAGCAGATCTCAAAGATGTTTCTCTGATTATAATTGATAATGTGTCGATGATATTTAATTTGACTTTAATGTACATACATCTTCGATTGTGTCAAATATTCGACACTCTTGATTCTGATGATGGTTGGTTTGGTGGAAAACACATTCTCCTATTTGGAAATTTGCTTCAATTACCTCCAGTAAACGATGATCCTGTTTTTGTGAGTTTATCAAAAGAAAAAATTGATAAATATCTCGGTTTGTTGGAGGCCACTACCTTATGGACTACATTGTGTGACTACGATGAATTATCAATCAATATGCAACAGCAAGAAGATCAAACTTATCGTGAGTTATTATCAAGAATTTGTAGTGGATTAGTGACTCAATCTAATTGTGAAATCTTTCAAACTAGAATACTATCGTTTAAAAGTGTATCTATGGAATCTAAATTGAACGAATTATGTAATTTTATAAGTTACGCCGTTACTCGCAGTATATGTAGAATGAAATTGCTGAGCCTACTAACTTTTTGTTACATCATCAACAAAACGATTTGTGCTGAAACTAACAAAATTTAGTAGACCCAGCAAAACTTTACTTTCCGTGATAAACAAAAAAAAAAGAAAAAAAAATTTTATCAAAATAAAAAATATTTAATGCAAAACAACTTGGCGCGGCTGCACCTCAAATATAATAAATTGAAACTTTTATATGCACGGCAGTTTGATGTTATAACTATACTCAATAGTTTCTTTTCATGGAAAATAAAGTTTTGCTGGGTCTACTTGTTAGTTTCAGTACAAATCGTTTTGGTGATGATGTAACAAAAATTTAGTAGGCCCAGCAATTTCTTTCTACGTATACTACGAGTAACGGCGTAACTTCTAACTTATCGCTAGACATCGAAGATGCGTTCTCCGTTACTCGGGAGTAACATTTGTCACGTATGTTAATAACACGTACGTTGCAAGATGTCTGTGCAAAGGTTTTGGTTTGCAAGACCTCTGATATGTAAAAGTCTTCTCGTGCAAAATTGTCGCATTTGCTTTGCGACAACTTTGCGATGTCTGAATATGTGAGATGCGAGATATGTGTAAAGGTGTCTTGTCGTGCAAGATTTTCACATTCACATTATTCTGCACTCTGCAGTCTTCTGTGCAAATTGTGCACAGAAGACTTATTTCTATATAAAAAAAAGATTTTTTCTGTATAAAAAAAACTTACAAAAATTCACTTGGTGCTATTTTGTGATATCACTTCTTTTGTCAAACAGGTTTGTAGAGAAACTATGTTTTATAGAATATAATATTTTGTAAAACAGGTTTTATACAGAAAGAAGTTTTTGTATAAGTTATAAAAGTTTATAGAGAAAGAAGTTTCTATAGTATATAAGTAATAAAATACAATACGTGTTGTGCGTGTACTTGGCGCTCTTTTTTTACTTTTTTTGAAAAGGTAAGTTTTTCAAGATATCACACATTTTCCATTTTGTAAAACAGGTTTTATAGAGAAAAAAATTTTTGTAGTTTTCTTCTACAAGATCTATTCTACAAAAAAATGATATCAATAAGTTACGCCAAGTAGAATCTTTTATACATTGTTATAAGAATATATAAAATATTATTTAAAACTTTGTAAGTTGTGTATACGTTGTAAAATAAAAAATATTCTAAATCACTAGAAAGTTTAAAATATTGTATAACCATTTCCCCTTTTTATAAAAAACTTATTGATGTAAGAAATGACTTCGCTTTGCGTGGAAAATCCTAAACTATGTTAAATCAAACATATAGATTTCGCTTTATGTGAAAAGTCAAAAACTCATGTGGAATGTTTCAAAATAAAAAATATTTAATGTAAAAAAACTTGGCGCGGCTGTATCGGAAACTAAAGACAGAATGCAGTCGCGCAAAGTTTTTTTACATTAAATATTTTTTATTTTGAAACATTTTACATGAGTTTTTGACTTTTCACACAAAGCGAAGTCTATATGTTTGATTGAACATAGTTTGAGATTTTTAACGCAAAGCGAAGTCATTTCTTGCATCAATGAGTGCTTTACATAAAAAGTGCAGTGGTCATACAATATTTTAAACTTTCTGTTGATTTAAAATTTTTTCTATTTGACAACGTATAAACAACTTATAAAGTTTTATACTGTTACGTCCCGGCTTTTAGTCACAGTCAAGCTTTTGTGGAGGACGCAGCAGCACACGACAAGCTATGTGTTTACGCTTGGCACATTAGGCCAAAGAAAGATAGGATAAAAAAGTGTGCGGGCCGAGCGAGACTACTTAGTGACGTAGACAAGTCAACGGATGTACCGATAGTACTTGACTACCGTCTTCTCACCTGCTGGTCTCTTTCTAGGACTTTGACGCAAATCTAACTTTCCTGGGATGAGACTCGGCGATCACTTAAAAGAGTACAGGAACGATATACTACTGAACGGAGAGGTCCAATGTTTAACTGACTGAAAACTTCATAATTTCTCAAGCATATAAAACATTTATTAGCGCGACAAGCATACAGGCTTTAATTGGTGTGACAAACATACAGACCTTTATTAGGGCAACACTAACTTATTTTTGTGGATTTACGTTCTATTTTAACATTCTATTAAAGCTATGCATAGGTTGAGTAAGTACGTGCGTGCGTGCGTGTGCGTGTGTGTGTGAAGATCTCAGTCGTCTGAGGTGAATTTCAGGATTTATAGAAAAGAATCTTGACAAGGGGAAGTAGAGTGATGTAATCTCGTTAATCACATAATCTCAAAACTCCATATTTCCGAAATCCTATAACCCAATATAACCTTAAAATTCACCAAAGTCCGTTAAGGTCTATCACAACAGGATAAAGGTCATTTAAAGGTCAAATTAAAAAAAAACTGAATTAAGAATTAAAGTGTTAGAGAATTAAGGGATTATTGGGTTATTGGGGTTTTCAGGTTATGGGGTTATAGGGTTTTCAGGTTATGAGGTTTTGAGGTTATGCGGTCATGAGGTTTTGAGGTTATGGGGTCATAAGGTTTTGAGTTTATGAGGTAAAATGATTAAAGGGTGTAGTTTTTAAGGAGTTATGAGGTTATTAGAATTTTGAGGTTATGTGGGTTTGAGATCATGGGGTTTTGAGGTTATCGGGTTTTAGGTTTTTGAGGTTATGGTAGTTAATAGGGACTTGATAGTGTATTTTATTAAGCAAATACAAGTTTGAATGCGCCGAATCTCCCCAAAACTGCTGTAAGCAAGTCATGACATTTTCAGTATTTGAGAGGGTGGCGGGGAGGAACTAGGGAGATGAGAGTAGTCCGTTTAGAGTGTAATCGACTTATTATTGTTAGTTGATTGTAAAAAAATGTATTTCAATTTTGTTTACCAAAAAACAAATTAGACCGAAAACCTCCCTTATCGACCCTCCTCTTTTATGAGTCATACATAAGACAGCAATTTTGCCATCATTTTTTTTCTAATACGCAGTTAGCAAGTTTTTGCTGTTTTTCTTGCTAAAAAATGCAATTCTGCAACTTTGCGGTCTCGCTACAAACTGCAACTCTGCAACTTTGCGCATACTGCGAATACTTGCGATAATGTTATATACTGCGGCACACATTGAAATATATATGTAGAAAAAATACACGGTTTCATAAAACATACGTACGAATAACTAAAATATGTACAACAATACATAGGTGCTGTTATTCAGATATGTTATATATAAAAACATTTATTTCTTAGACTAGCTATATTGACACACAGAATTGAAAAATATATACGCCGTTGTACAGCATTAAAAAAGTAGATACCTTGCATAGTGCCAAAGTAAAAAAGTACATACCTTGAAGTCGCCATATTGTTGAGCTACCATATTGCCGTTAGTGCCGCGTGTGAAGTCGCCACAACGGGCTCTCCGCGTGATTTCAGTGGTACGCTCCCGTGACGTCATTAGTCGAGACAATTTTGATTGGCTGACGCAAATTGCACCGCGTGACGTCATAACCTATGACGTTAGACCCCCCGATAACGTCAATACTTTCCTTGTAACGTCATATCCTGCGCTTCCCTTTCTTGTGACGTCATCTCTCGCCCCTCGGAGCTCCTGGGTTAGAACTCTCTTTATATCACTACTTATATACAAAAAATACGCAACAAACATTTAGCAAATGACCCTCATTGACCAAAATTTTTTGTTGTTTAAATCTACGAGATTGCAAGCAAGCCTCGAAGGATCTTGGCGCTTTTGGAACGGCTCGCACTTCCGGACTTCTGCGGAAGACTTGGCTTTTGTGACGAGAGAAGAGCGACGCGATTACCACGTTACCATGTGTAGTATATGCTGTTATATTAGCTGCCCTCACAAATTGCTACGGATAACACCGTAAGCGTGCCGGGCTGTTTTACGCGCGTAAAACAGCCCGATACATGCTTATTCGCAGATATATATTAATTAAGATCTCGGTAATTATTGCAAGTCTTGCAAAGTAGGAAAGAACTTTGTGATTCAATATAACCCTCTCACAAAAGATTGTACAACAATTATAGGACACCCTGTATATATTACTTTCGCAACAAACATCTAGCGTAAGGCTCCAATAAACATCAATTTTCTGTCAGGTTTTAACTTTTAGAGCCGAATCCTTCCATTAAATTGTTATAGATAAAATTATATAATATAGCACAAAAATGTGATCTGCGTTCTAGCAACGCTTTTTAAAACATGCAGTAAATGGACTTTTTTCCTGATGAAGGTTTAAAGTTAAAAGACGCCATTGTTTGCGTAGTACTTACTCCCATAAAAGTATCCAACGACATAACTGTGAAATACCCAGCAGTTAATGTGCATGGTCGACGTGCTCTGATCATGATTATAATTATTCCTTTTCTCAATGTCAATCCTGGACCATTACCAGATAAAAGATACCACTTGGAATTATAAGCGGCATCGGAAACAGCCGTGCTTTGCACAATTATATCATTACATGTCCATGTATAAATAAGTAGCTGAATAAGGCCGCCCACAAAATGGAAACCAAAAATACACTTTCTAATAGGTATGTCTACTGCCTATAACAAATAAATGTCACCAAAAACTGTAAACCTATTGTTTTATATAAGAAAATAATTCTAAAAATATCTTTTATTATTAAACATTTTTATGTGTTATATGATTTCGAAACGCGTCAGAACAAAAACGCTCGAGGAGTCCGCGTCTGTGAAAATTCTCGTGTTTTCTGCGTCGCGCAGCAAATTTGCGTCATGTGCGCTAGTCAGAACAACATAACGTCTTGTTGTCGGTAGTGTGCAAATTTATTTCGTGATGGTCCGGCGAAACAATTCGTCGATTTTAGTACAAGAAGAATGAAATGTTTCATACATATCATCTACATCGCTTATAACGCCAAGACGTTTGACGCGCAAGTTGTTCTGTTACATCGCGGAAAAACGCGTTGAGTTAAATCCGCAAATAAACAAAACAAAGTGCGACAGTTTCATTCAAAAGTTTAATCTTACGCTATGAGAAAGTATTTTTAGAACTCGATTCACATATCGTAAGACTATTTCAGACTTTTATTACACAATTTTATCACATGTCATTAATGTAGAAATAAATAAGTAGTTGTATTATGCTCAAAACCTCCGTAAGCAATTTTTTTCTTTTTATTTCTTGCGATAACCTTTAGTAGTAATTGTCCATGTTGTGCACCAAACGGCAATTTGACAATTTTGCGCACGTCTAACCAAATCTGTCAGTGTACTTAGCTGTCAAACAAAACTGGTAAAATGACTTTTTAATTTTAATACAAATACTAAACAAACACTTAAAAGCAATTTTGAGTATGACAGAAGTAAAAACATCAAAAAAAAAATCAAAGTACGCTTATGAATACGGTTGGACTATAGTGGAACAACCGTAAACCAATGTTTTTTCTCAAATATCTCCATAGTAGATACGAAAGTCTTACTATAAAAGTCAAACAAGTTTGTTTGCATTTACAGACGGGTCAACGGCACGCGCCGATCTTACTCCGTCTAGTAAAGCCTCGCTTGTCGGTCCTCTTTTAAGTCTAGAGCGTTAGCTCTAATAACTAAGAACGGAACGTGCAATTGTTTGAGGATGAAATAAGAGGTCAAATAAAAATATGAGTAAGTGCGTTAAAATTAATATTTATTTATTATGTGTGCTTACTTTATTACTTTAAATTAAGAGAAATGTGTAGTATGCGAAATTTTACAATATGCCGAAAGGGGCATTACTCGGAAGCGGAAGAGGAGTATGCAAGGTTGGGTAGTGTCTAGTTAAAAAGATAAAAGTTAAGTTAAAAAGTTAAAAAGTTAAATAATTTTAACTTTATCTAGTTACATTTTTAGACTCTTATCTTTTAACTTTATTTAGTTATATTTTATCGGTAACTAGTAACTTTTTAT